GCCTCAGGTGGAGCCCAGTGGGGAGCCCTCAGCAACCACCAGTAGTGCTGCACCCACCATGTGGCTAGGAGCCCAGAATGGCTGGTAGGCAAAGCCAAAGACACAGGACATGGTGGGGTGGGAGGGCTCAATGAACTATGTAAGCTCTGCCCACCTGCCTTACCCTACAGGCTCTACGTGCATTCAGCAGTAGCCAACTGGAAGAAGTGTCTGCACTCCATCAAGCTAAAAGACTCGGTGCTGAGCCTGGTGTATGTGGCCCCCACTAAGGGGTGGGGTCAGGGACCCAAGGGCCCAGCAGCCTCAGCCTACCTCACTGACTTACCATTCCAGGCATGTCAAAGGCCGAGTGCTGGTAGCTCTTGCAGATGGGACCTTGGCTATCTTCCATCGTGGCGAGGGTAAGGCGTAGTGGCTCTTGCAGAAGCAGGCCTAGGGATTCCTGGGTTCCTGAGTTCCTGGGTCCATTGGTCCATTGGTCTATCGGTCCATCGGTTCATCCTGAGTCTGGCAATAGATCCTCCACACCAACCCTATGAACAGAGATAGACCCTAGCCAGACTTGAGCAAATGTTCTGGGCTCTTTTTAGATGGCCAGTGGGACCTGAGCAACTACCACCTGATGGACCTGGGCCACCCCCATCACTCCATCCGTTGCATGGCTGTTGTGGACGACCGAGTCTGGTGTGGCTATAAGAACAAGGTGCACGTCATCCAGCCCAAGACAATGCAGATTGAGGCAAGTGCTTGCTAATGGCCTCCAGAGTTGGGAGAGGCTTCTGCCAGATTGGAGGTTGGGACAGGCTGGGTGTCATTAATGTGGGCCCTGCATCATATCATAGCAAGCCCACATCCCTTACCTTTCCATTACCCACCCCTGTTGACTGGCTGCCATTAACCAACAGAAGTCATTTGATGCCCATCCAAGGCGGGAAAGCCAGGTGCGACAGCTGGCCTGGATCGGTGACGGAGTGTGGGTTTCTATTCGCTTGGATTCCACCCTTCGACTCTACCATGCTCACACCCATCAGCACCTGCAGGATGTGGACATTGAGCCCTATGTTAGCAAGATGCTGGGTGAGCCAGACATGGTGGGCACATGCCTATAATCCCAGCACTTGGGGGTTGAAGCAGGAGGATCAGAAGTTCAAGGTCATCTTTAGCTAAGCATAGTCAAGTTGGAGGCCATCTTGGGCTACATGAGAGCCTGCCTCAATATAAATCAAATAAAAATGCTGTTAGGGGATGTGCCAGGCCTAGCACGTGGGACCCACCACTGGCTGCACTGACCCCTCTTCCTGTTCCCACTCAGGTACCGGCAAGCTGGGCTTCTCCTTCGTGCGCATCACAGCCCTCCTCATTGCAGGCAACCGTCTGTGGGTGGGCACTGGCAACGGGGTTGTCATCTCCATCCCCCTGACTGAGAGTAAGTTCCCAACCCTGGAGGACACCTATCAGGGAAGCAGCAGCTGCGCTAAAGAGTTCGCAGAGTAGGTGGGCTGGGGAGCCACCTTTCTGGCCAAGCTCAGCCTTCCTTTCTCTCTCCTCCCCAGCTGTGGTCCTGCATCGAGGCCAGCTTTTGGGGCTCCGAGGTAAGCCCTCAGCACTTGCCCCTTGTGGTCTAGGGCATTTGCTATGCTCCCAGCCCTCACTGTCTCCAGCTTCCTGCTGAAAATAAGGTAGTCCTAGTCTCCTGTCCCTGTTTTCCCAGCCAACAAGACATCTCCAACATCTGGGGAGGGGACCCGCCCAGGGGGCATCATCCATGTCTATGGGGACGACAGCAGTGACAAGGCAGCCAGTAGCTTCATCCCCTACTGCTCCATGGCTCAGGCTCAGCTCTGCTTCCATGGGCACCGCGATGCCGTCAAGTTCTTTGTCTCTGTGCCAGGTACACAGATGATCTGAACCCACTTTGCCCACTGTGCTCCAGTAGCACAGCTGTGACCTTTCCAGGGGGTTATAGCCCTGAGATTCCTCTGCCCGTGACAGGAAATGTGCTGGCCACTCTCAATGGCAGTGTGCTAGACAGCCCATCAGAGGGCCCTGCGCCTGCTGCGCCTGCTGCAGATTCTGAAGGCCAGAAGTTGAAGAATGCACTGGTGCTGAGTGGTGGTGAAGGTTACATTGACTTCCGAATTGGTAAGTAGGCACAAACTAGAGGTAGGGCCCGGTGTGGGCATGTGGGAGTCCTCACGGCTGCCAATCCTCCAGGGGACGGCGAGGATGATGAAACCGAGGAAGGTGCCGGGGATGTGAACCAGGTGAAGCCCGTGTTGTCCAAGGCTGAGCGCAGCCACATCATTGTGTGGCAGGTGTCCTACACCCCTGAGTGAGAGCCTGCCCTGCCTGATGCCAACTGTACATAGGACCCTACCTGCCTGCCCCCTCGCCTGTTCCCTGGGGCAGTCAGGTTCGTCCATCCCCCTTTAACCTCTCAACTTGCAGCTTTTGCCTGAGGTCCAGCCCCCAGCTGTTAGAGAGGGGTAAAGCGAGTTATGGGGAGTGAGGCAGGAGCGGATGTCTTTCCCATCAGGGAGGAGAGAGCCTCTGGGACACCCTCTCTCCAGTAGCTCCTGGCCCTGGCCAACACCCAGCCCAAATGAAGTCCCAGGGGCCCCTCAGGGCAAGTCAGGACCAAGATTGCTATGGGCAGCCCCTACAGGTGGCCCTAGCTCCACTCAGGCCTCATTTAGTCCTGGCAGGAGCAAGAGCCTCATACTGCCGAGTCTTCCCCAAGTCTACTTGCTTTGCATGCAGCCCTGAGGAAGGGGTTCCTGAGTCCCAAACCCTTGCTCTCCCTGAGGGACCCAGGCCTGGCCACTGTCCTCTGCCCAGAAGCAAGGCTAGGATTGTCTAGATTCCTGGACCTCAGCCAGCCTTCTCTGGGCTTTTCCCCATCTCCAAACTTAAATTCCCTTGGCCCCCAGCCTGGGTCTTACCTGGGAACCTGGCATGAAAGCTCAGGGCCAGCCTCCCTGGGGCAGCTGCTTCAAAAGATGACAAATACCCATTAACCCGAGGGATCCCAAAGGTTGTCCAGCCCCTCATGGACCAGTGTCCTCTAGGCTCTTCCTAGGCACAAGATTCACCTTGGAGGAGCAAGACCCTAGTGCCCTGTCCATCCCAGAAGTCCCAAGGGTAGAATTTCTCAGGCTGCCAGGGCAGGCACAGGCCTCAGGAAGAAGGGTGTCCCTGGTGTACCCAGAGTTAGTCCTAGGATGCAGGCTCAGCCTCAGGTTAATGGAGGATGGTGTGCTCCCAGGGCCTGCCTCCTGCACAGGGCTCCAAGGAGCCCAGCTCCCGGACACGTACTAAGTGCCTAGGGTTGCCAGCTGTGGCCTGCTCCCTTGGAGAGCAACTAACAAGAGGCTGCCAGGCAGAGGCCAGAAGAGCTGAGGACTGGCCAGGATGGGCACAGTTAGAAGCAAGTGTGTGGAGGCAGGTGCTGCCCTGGCATTGATCAGAGTCAGCTGGCCTCTACTGCCCTTTCCCCACCTGAGAAGCACAGATCCAGGGGCATTGCCCCTGAACCCATCTGGCCACGGCAAGCTGCAGCAACGTGCAGCTGCAGGCTTCTCCCTACCATCCTGCCACCTCTCCACTGTGATGTATGTCCCTTGTCTGTTCCCACAGGAGTGTGAAGTGACTGGGGTTAGCTGGGTGGGTGCAGCTGGAGGAAGGGGCCAGTGCAACTCTCCTCAGGCTTTGGCCTTGCAAGTGAACTCACATATCTGCTCTGTATGTAATAAATGTCTTAACACTACTTTTGTCTTGAAACTACACCAGTGCACAAGGGTTTTCTGCAGTTTATTATGAAAAGAAAAGGGAGGGATGTGGGAGTGGCTGTCCCTGGACAGAGTGGGTCGGGTGGACCCGCACCCTCAGCAAGCACTCACTGCTGCTGAGCTCTGAAGACTGCAGAAGACCAACAACCTCCAGGTTGGTAATGCTGAGTTCAGTAGCATCTACTCATACAGCCAGTGCCCGGCGCTGTCCTCCCAGCACAGAAGCTCATCCTCACCGAACCAAAGCGCAATCTCTCTGTGAGCACTTTCCACCGAGTCACTGCCATGAATCACGTTCCTGTGTGGAAATGGCGAGTGAGCAGCAGAGGAAGGGTGAGGGGTGGCCAGGGAGTTTGGTAGGACTTACTTGCCAACCTCCACGCAGAAATCCCCACGGATGGTGCCAGGCATGGCGTCCCCTGGGTCAGTGGCCCCTATGAGGGCCCGCGAAGCACGTACGACGTCCAGTCCTTGCCACACCTGCAGGGGCTACTGTCAGCGCGATAAGAGCTCCCAAGGCCTCCCCCTCCCCTTGCAGGTCATCGGAAACTCACCATGGCCACCACAGGGCCAGAGCTCATGTATTTAACTAGGCGGCTGTAGAAGGGTCTCTCGCTAAGCTCCGCATAATGCTCCCGCAGCAGCTCCTCGGAGGCCTAGGGGAGGGAGAGCAACCAGTACCAGGGCCCCAACCCTAGACCCGCCCGGTCCTCTTCCTGGACCCACCAGCTCGCTTGCGCGCCCATACCTGCACTAGCTTTAGTGCCACTAGCTTGAAGCCCTTCCTCTCAAAGCGACGCACGATCTCACCCACCAGCCGCCGCTGCACGCCGTCGGGCTTCACTGCCAAGAAGGTGCGCTCGTTCACGCCGCTGTAGGCTGCGGGAGTACTGGCTTAAGGCGTGCCCCACCGCGCTGCCCCCAGCCCGGGCCCAGCCCGCCCTGGAGCTCACCTACGGGAAAGAGGTTGGCGAAGATGGTCAGCACCAGGCAGATCATGGCGGCGGATGGGGCGGGCCAGACGGCGAGGGGGCGGGGCCTCCCTTAAAGGACCTTCGGGCGCGGGCTCTGCAGTCCCAGCACATTTGAGCCCAGGGCTCAGCCACAGGGCCTAAGACCTGCTGGAGTGTACTGGAGCACCAGACGCCCTGCTGCGGACCGCTGCCTTCCCTCCCCCGTACTACGGTACCCACGTAATGAAAACACAGCACAGGCCACTTTGTGCGTTTATTTCCAGACCGAGGTATGAGCAAGAGGCTGCCTGAAAATGACAGCCTGTCAACTGCCCCATCGATTCATTGGCAGGTGTGTCAGGGCTGTAGGGTCGAACTGTCCACCAAAAGGGAGGTCTGGCGCAGTCAAAGACACTTGTCCATCAAATGACTCACATGACTTCTCTGCCCGTTCTGGCAGTTAGACTGGGGTGCCCTTGGCCTTCCCTTTGGTCTCCTGTTTTGCAGGGTAGTCCCAGGGATGCACCCGAGTCCTCTCCAGGTTCAGGAGCGGCTCCTGGACGCTGGTATCCCCGTTTTTCTGTCGTTCAGCGAGGATCATGGCCCGCAGCAGAGGTGGGTAGGGGACAGGGTTCAATCCGTCCTCTGGTTTCGCAGTGAATGCAGTGAAGGCCTCCTCTTCGTGCTTGGGTACCAACCGCCAGTCGTGGTACATGACTTGCTCGATTTCCCGAGCCTTATCCTCACTCTTCCCTGGGGAAAGAAGACAAGCTGACTGCCTGCTGGCTGGATAATCTGCGAACCATCATCGGCTCCAACAAGCACCCAGCCTTACCTTTGAAGGTCAGGATGCCCCAGGCCCTCCCGTGGTCCAAGTTCTGCAGAACAAGAGGGAGAATTGTCAACATAGAGCCCCTTGAGACTAAGTTACGTGGGTAAGGGAGACATACAGGCCCAGGTGGTTCAGGGTGGGTAGGAGCAGCCGGTATGGTCCTGGGTGGGCAAGATGAAGAAAGTGTAGGCAAGAACGGGCGGGACGGGGAGAGAGCGCACCTGCGCCGTGTAGTCGGGCCTCACACGCGTGAGGCGCCAGTAGCACGGCTCGTCGTGCTGCCACAGCCAGGACTTGCGGGTGACCAGACGGCCCAGGCCGAACAACGGGAGGCGGGCGAGCAGCTGTAGGAGGCGGCTCTCACGGCGCACGTCGGCCCAGGCGCGCACCGGCAGCCGGCGACCCGAATGCGGCCGGGTCAGAGTCTCGTAGTCTAGGGCGTAGAGCTGCGAGTCTCGCGGCTGGTTCCGCTGCTCGCGCAAGGCGCGCACGCGGCGGGCCAGCTCGGCGATTAGCCGGGGTCTCACTTTCTTGCGCGCCATGCCTGTGTCCTTACACCACCGGAAACCTACGCTTCTAGAGCTCTCCCGATCCGGAAGCGGCCGGTGTCCTGTACAAAAGCATCCGGCTACACCCGGAAGCTGTAGGAAGAGTGGGCTATGGCAGACGTAGAACCTAGGAGAGCTAAGAGCCCGCGAGGCCGGGGTCGGGGCCGGGGCCTGGGTCAGCGGCGACCTCAAACCTGGGAGATCTCCGACTCAGACGGCGAAGGGGCCGCCTTCAGGGAAGTCAGCACGCAAACCTCGAGTACAGTAAGAGAGCACAGGGCGGCGGCTAAGGCTTTACGGGCGGATCAGGTCCTGAGTCGTCTGGCGGTGTGCGTGGATCCAGGTGCGGGTCTAGGGGCGGGAAGGCTGGGAACTTGGGGCTGGCCACCCGTCACCCACAAGCTCTCACGGGAGAGGGTGGAATGACCGAGCTGTCGCCTGCCTGCCCCAGCTGTCCTGGAATATGCAGGCTCCGACATCCTGATGGAGGCGCTGGGCAAGCTAGGCTGTGAATGCCGCATCGAGCCGCAGCAGCAGTCCCGCAGCCTGCAGTGGAGCGTTGGGAGGCCCGATCCAGCCCCCAGCCGCGTGAGTGTCTCCATATCACCAGCCTAGTGCCAGTCTTATTCCAGGTTTCACTTTTGCCTCTGGCTAGCGAAGTAGCTGCATTCATCTTTCTTACCTTGCACAGGAGTAACCTAAAAGCTGAAGGATGCTCAAGTCGCATTTCTTAACACAAGAAACCTGAACTCAACTGCTGTCAGAACCTCCTGTTGGCAATGAGGATGGGGTCAGGTTCCTGCTGTTGATGGAGTTGGGCTAGTTTCGTACTCTGAGACTTCTAGGGAGCAGACCTGGCAGGCCAGAACTTCACTGTGTGGAAAGCTGGAGAGTTATTGACAGTGTTTGGTGGCTGGGCAGCAGGGGGGAAGCCTTGGGTCCACACAGGTGGTTAGCAGGGCCGGTGATGTCCCCTACAGGTGCCTCTGGAGGCGTGGGCTGAGAATGAGCAGGAACAGTTGCTGCTGCTAGAACCCCAAGAGTTTCTTCAGAGTGCTATGCAGCTGACCCAGGTACTTGGGAAAAGACCTATCATTTGTCTTGTATGACTGGTTCCCCAGTCTGGGATGGGCTGGAGCTACCATAGAGGTGTTGAGGGTAATATGAGGGAATCTGCTGAGTGCTCTAGACACAAGAGCATGGAAGGTCCTTTGGGAGAACTGAGAGTGGTGATCTGGGCTACAGACTGGTCCGGGGGTAAAGGAAGAACCTATAATTCTGGCTGGTAGTGTCCATATGAGCTGGCTGTGGGATCTGCCTACAATGGCTGGTAATCCCTCCCTTGGCTGCTCATGTTCCCTGGACTCAAGGGAAACAGTGCCTGATATTTGCCTGGAGCACAATTCTGCTAAACTCTTTGTGGGTGCTGGTGTCCAAGGGCCATTTGTTGAGCACCTGCTGGGTGTAGAAGTGGACCAGAAGCAAGGGGGCTGGCTCACTTCTGCACCAAAACCTGGAGTGTGCCTGTGTACAGCTGGGCCTTAAGGAAGCAGAGCCAATCCCCAGAGAACAGATAGGACCTGTCAGCTTCACGCAGTTCCTCTTCCCTCTGGAAACCGGCCATACTGGTGGCTGTGGGCCTGCTGTCATAGTACTCCTGTGAACAGACATGTGGCTGTTCCTGCTTCCAGATCACAGGCCCACCTTGCTCCGTGCCCTGGCTTTCTCCCAACAGCCCCATCCGCCCCCACCTGGCTGTCATTGGACTGGATGCATACCTGTGGTAACACTCTCCCTGAACCAGTAGGGTTGGCTTGAATGGGATTCCAGAAAAATGGGATTGCCCCTAGGGGCTACTGTGACACAGCTGGCCCCACTTGCCCTGGGTGGGCCCTGCAGAAGCAGACTTGGCAGCCCAAAGGTCCCCTCTGTTCAGGTCTCACCAGCCCAGTTCTCAGAAGACATGGCAGCTACAGAAGTCAAAGGAAGCCCATGCAGAGGTGGCCGTCAGTTGGCCTGAGGTGGAAGAGGTGAGGGCTGCCCGAGTTGTTAATGGCTGGCCTTGGTCTCTGCACTTGGGCTGCTGACTTCGGCCTGTCGGAGCTGGGCTCAGTTCCTAGCACACCTGGGGTGGCATTCCTTAGAGGCCCATACCCACTCTCATGCTACCCAGGCCCTGGTGCTGCTTCAGCTCCATGCAAACCTGGATGTGCTGCTGGTGGCCTCGTGGCGGGAGCTGAGTCAGTACGTGTGTGCCTTCACCAAGGCCCTCTCCCAGCGCCCCTCCAAGTACGTACCCCTGCAGGGACAGTGTGGAGGTGGGACAGGGCTGGAGGCACACAGATGAAGAGTTCTCAAGGCTTGTGTCATGGTTCCCCTCCCGTTTCAGGCAGTCCCGGGACTCCTGGGCCTTTTCCTTCTGCACAGCAGGGCACTGGGCCGCAGGCCAGCAAGTGACCAAAGATGGCTCTGGCCTCCGAGGAGTGTGGTGGCGGCAAATCAGACAGTTCAACCGGGTCAGCCCGGCTGTGGCGGATGCTGTTGTTGCTGCCTTCCCCTCCCCCCGCCTTCTGCAACAGGTAAGTTCCCCAAGTCCCCCCTCCCAGGACTAGGACCTAGGGCCCCACCTACTTACGCCTGTCCCCACCCTAGGCTCTACTGGACTGCAGCACGGAGCAGGAGCGCCTGAGTCTCCTAGCTGACCTCCCTGTGAAGGTCCAGGCAGGCAGGCAGCCCCGCAGGGTGGGACCGGACATCTCACGCCGAATCTGTATCTTCTTGACTACCACCAACCCCGACCTCCTGCTGGACCTGAGCTCTTGACCACACCTGTGACATCCTTGGGCTGCCTCCTGACCATCGGCTGAATAGGACAAGCCCGCCCAAGAGACAGTCACTCTGAGAGGCAGGCAAGGTTTAGGCCCAGCCACCACATTTTTCAGTCTGGGGTAGACTACTGTTCCCTGGTCAAATGGAAGCATCGTGGGAGGTAAGGGTGTAAGGGAAGCTGGGGTGAAGAGAAGAGTCTGGAAGGTAGTAGGCAGCAAGGGCCCTGAAGTGACTGGGGCTTCACCGTGCCTTCGGCCTGGACACTGGTTGCAGGGCCGAGTGCCCAGTTGGGCAATTCCCAATTCCATTGCTATCTGGAAGCTTAGGGTACACCCTCAGGAGAAGAGATCCAAGCTGCTGGACAGACACAGTGGAAGGTAAACCATAGGCACAGGCAGCTCAGGCCTTATTGAGGACTCTTTTAATGGTATAGCCTATGGGAATGAGACAAAATCCCTTCGCAGGGCACCCACTGACATCATGTAACGGGCAGGAGCTGACAGCATGCAATTGCAAGTCAGGAAGACCCCAAGGCCCTGTGGGTTGGGACAGCCCATCTCCCTCTCCCTGGCCTGTCAGTGTCCACTCTGAGTCAAAAGTATCCCAGGCTTGTAATCTTAGGTCCAGAAGGGTTCGAGCTGCTGTCCCCAAGATACCTGGCAACTCACAGCACAGACAGGAGCGCTGCTTCCCCACCACCAGCACATGCAGTAGGATGGCCTCCGCACTCCTGGCCAACAGACTGTCCTGGCTCCAGGGAGATGGGGACACGCCTAGACAGACCTCAGCTCTTCCCTCTCCTGCTGCGCTGGAAGGGACAGAATAAGGTAGTTGCATCCAGCTGGAGAAGTCAGCTTCTTCTGCAGCGTTTCCTCTGACAGGGCCTGGTCTCGGGGCTCTCGGCACCAGCTGTGGCTGTGCCCGGAGTGGGCACAGGGGACTTCCAGCGGTTGCAGTTCATGCTCAGGACCCAGCCCAGCTTGTTATGCAGCACTTGCTTGAGTCCCGGTGGCAAGGGCAGGCCCTCCAGGGTATCCCCTGAGTTTGGCCGCAGCTGGCGCAGGCGATAGCAGCACAGGTATTGCAGGGAGGTGGAGCTGGCACAGGAGCGGATGACTTTCATGCTGCTCTTGGCAGCTGTGGAGCACACCATCGGGTAGAACCTTCTGTTTTGCAGCCGAGTGGCAGCCACTCCTGGAAGGAAGACTCAGCCTGAGTGCCATGTAGATCAGGAGCCAGGAAGCTCCTCCCGTAATGCACCATGGTGAACAGCTCATGCCACTCTGAACACAGAGGACAGACTCACCTCTGGCCTGCTAACCCCACCTGGGCTTCAAGCCCTGCCCACCCTTGAGAGCCTCAGATCACAGACTGCCTGACCCCACCCTCTAGGCTCCCAACTCTGGTCTCCAGGTCAGCCTGAGACCTGGTCAGGAAGGACTCTCACCTATGCACTTCCTGTTCTTGAAGAAGGTCAGCGTCCCATGCCAGGTGTCCAAGTGTACGCCAATAATAGAGCCCTGGCCGAAGCGTGACGAGAAGCTTGTCTTGTCCCCTTTGTGATGGAGGAGTCCTGGAGCAGTAGATGGGTAAGCCTGGGAGGTCTGTGGCACTGCTAGCCCCACCCACTACCCAGGCAACACCCACCAGTGTAGGAGAGGCCCCAGCTGTCTTCATCCCTGCCAAGCAGGCTGCAGAATGTGTGGTGGTACTTGTCCAGGTCTACATCTGATGTCCCAATGCCCACCATCTGCAAACAGTGAGGCTGGGCTAGTTAGGTGCCTAGGGGCAGGGCCCGTGGCAGCTACCCTCTTGCCTGGCCATTTACCATGTCAGTGCCATACACAGGAGAGGTCATCTTGATTTCCCAGAAATGTTGGCCATCCCCTAGCTCCTTAGTGCCCCGGATGGCTGCAGTGCCACAGCTGTACTCCATGTGAAAGCTGACCTTGCGGTTATCACAGCTCAGCAAGGTGGCCGAGGACTTGTTCAGGTCATCCCAGACCCAATCAAAATCTGTAAGACAGAGGGCCCACATTAGGCAGGGCTGGAGCAAAGCGGTACCGTGCTGGTCCAGAGAACCTCCCCAGCGCTCCACACAGGCTCTGGTGACAGTACTCACCCTCATCCTCCTCACCGCAACGGCAGTCCTTGCCACGGTGTGCTGTGTGGAGGCTGTTGCAGAAGGCAGCCTCATTCTGGCCCTCACAGTCACAGAAGGACTCTCCTGTCACAGGCACAGCACTGGGGATGGATGGTGGCAGGGAAGAGTACTCAGGGTCAGAGTCTGAGTCGCTGTGCTGGGAGGGAAGGGGTAGATTATTCTACTTATGGCAGTTTTCCCATGGCCAGGCTACCCGACCCCTTCTCATAGCCACCAGAGAAGAATCTAGACACCTGTGGTTCTCCAGTGCACAGCATAGGTAACCTCAGTGCCAAAGCTGGGCTTCTATGCCTGCAACAGTACAGCGAAACGAGGCGGTGACCCGGGTGTATATGTGTGTGTGTGTGTGTGTGTGTGTGTGCGCGCAATAGCTTCTCACTTGGCTTCTTAATGGATCTCTGAAACTCAATCTGCACAGCCCTCAGCCCCAACTGCCACAGCCCATTGAGATGGGCCCCTCTAGCACTCACCTCCTGCCTTCTCCAGGTAGCACAAGGTCTCCTAAATCATGGGGCTGGTACTGTCAGCAAGGTCTAGCATCCGGCTCCTCACAGCCTAAGATCTAAGCCTTAGGATGTGAGCCCCACTCCATGCCGGGTACTTAATGAATCCTAGTGGGCTAATGGAGCTGCTTCAAGTCTCAGCTGCAGCACTGCACTCCTAAGGTGCTGCAGTCCTGAGGCTTGAGCTCAGTCCTCGGAGCCTGGTGGAGGTGTAGACAAAGCTGGGCTGGTCAAGTTCCAGCTACTGACACTATTCCTATTCAGGTCCTCTGCAGGCCCTTGGATCCCTGTTTGATGCTCGGCTAGCTGGCTTGGCAGTCCTGAAGCTTTGGCCTCTGCCTCTGCCTCACCCCATGACCCTTCTATAACCTGAGCAGACCACCACCACATCAGCTCTACCATCTATATGGACACATAGCCCACCTCTTATGAGCAGAGCACCAGCTGATCACTGCATTCTCTAGATGGGAGCATTCAGCCAATAAGAGGTGCTCAGACCAGACCTTTCACCCCCATATTCTTTTCACAATATTCAGGCTCTCCACTGTCCTGCTCTCTGCTTCTTTTGCAGTATCACCAGCTCCTTGGGGAGGGCCCCAAATCGCACACCAAGTCCCAAGAACCATCATGGTGGTCGTGCAGTACCATGAGCAGGTGAGGAAGTGGCCAGCAACAGACAGCTGAGGGGAGACTGGAAACTGACCTCCAACTCCAGGCCCTGTGTGCTGGCATAGGGGAGTAGTAATTCTACAAGGAGCCAGACACAAGATGTTTTGTCAGCCAAGGTTAACTTAGGCCCCTCAGAAGACAACCTGAACAGCTATCCTGCCTGAAGGAAAGGCTTATGCCCCAGATAGAGCAGACCTTGTATCCACTGGCAATGATGGGATCCTCTAACGCCAAGGCAATCCACTGACTCAGGAGTCAGGGTATGAGGTCAATCTACCTAGGACAGGAGGGAGGGGCCAGGGACACCAGGAACTCGCTGCCATCTGACTACACGGCACAGCAAACTCATCGCATCACAGGCATGAGTATCGCTGCTTCCACCCCCCAGTGATGACTGAGAGGCAGGAACAGGCACACAGGCTGTTCCAGGGTACCCTGTCATTGGGTGTAGCTGAAAATTTGGGCTGACCCCTCAAGTTCAGAGGCCTCCCAGAACTGCAGGGACACTGCTGACCCAGTCAGTAACTCTGTGGCTTCCAAGTATCCTCACACCCTGGTGATCCCATGGGCTTCTAGAAGGGACTCTGTTGCAGGGAGGTATGACATCAGAGCAGAGGCAATACAGGGCAGAGCCAGAATACCAGTCCAGTATAGCAAGACGAATCAAGAGCCACCCCCAAGAGCCTAGTCAGGTGCCTTAAGCTGGTATCTACCCTGTGCCCTACATTCCTGGGCCTCCTGTGCTCAGAATCTACAACAAAGCAACTCTTAGAAATTTGAACTTATGGATTTAAAAATTTAAAAAAAAAAAGGTGTTTGTTGATGACCTGAGTTTACCACAGAGTAGAAGGAGAGAACGAAGTCCTGCAAGGTGTCTGACTTCCACATGCTCGTCATAGCACACATGTGCCCACACACAATAAATAAACTGCCTCCAGTCCAAGGCCAGCCTGTGTTATAGTGTGAGACTATTTTTAAAATAAAAAGGCTGGGCATGGTGGCACATGCCTTAGATCTCAGCACTTGGGAAGCAGAGGCAGGTAGATCTCTGAATTCAAGGCTAGCTTGGCTTAGTTCCAGGTTAGCCAGGGCTACACAGAGACCCCGACTCAAAAAGGGAAAAAAGTTCACAGATCCTTTTATACATTACAGATGAAGTGAGTATTTACACGCATGAATATAAAGCGAACATTTGTGTAGCAAAAGAAACATCCAGGGTCCTCAAGATGGTTGAGCATGTGCATGCTTGCTACTGCACATCAGGGACAACCTAAGTTTAATCCCCAGACCCCAAATAAAGGTGGCAAGAGAGAACAAACCCCACAGAGGAAAAAAAAAAGTCCCCTGATAAACTGCCCATTAACTAGTACACAATAATAAACAAAAATATCTAGAAGGTGGGCACCAAGTTGCCAACAGCAGCTAGTCTAGAAATTGGCAGGGCTGATGAGCAGGCATCTGTCCTACACTGACCAGCACTGTCCAGGATTTACACTCCATGGGCAAGGATCCCTGCCAGTCTTGAGTCTTTGTCACACTCAGGCTACATGTTATTTACCAGGCCAAAGAGCCCTCCTTCTAAGCATGATATACCCGGAGAGAGTCCAGTCACCTGCCTCAGCATCTTTTTCACTCCCTATCCATACACTGGTCATCACCACCTTGCTACTGGGACCTACCTGCCCATCAGAGTCATAGCCCCAGTTAGTGGTGCCTGCCAAAGCCACGTTTCGGGCATCTGTGTCTCGGCGGGCTGCACTCAGAACGAAGTGCCATGCCCTGCTACTCCGAGGACGCCGGGCCATAGTGGAGAAGACCTGGAAGGAAAAAAAAAAAAACATAATTGTAAGCCTTAAAGACACATATGTGCCAGAATTCCCAAACAAGGCCCATACCCACACCCCACAACTCTGTCCCCTGGCATTTCTGGGCTACCTGGCAGGCTAGGTCATAGACCCACCAAAAGATGGGGACTCCAGGGCCCTGGACACTGAGCCTGGGCTCCAGGAACTCCCACAAGCTCATACCTGGCTCCAGTATCTGAGCATCTCAATCAAGCCCAGGGCGATGGTGTGAAACGCAACCCAGACACCCATGACTCTGGACGTGCCCCAGCCCATCTTTGCATTCCGTTCAGGAGCTGCTGCCCCTCAGGCATATCACACTTAACTTGCTCCTCCTCCGCTGTCCACTTTGGCAAATGGCATCCCCAGCATCCAGTTCCTCATGCCAGAAACAGAGCTGTCATCCACCCCTGACACTCCTTCTTCCAACACACCTGAAGTGGTTCCTCCTTGTCGCTGGAGACCCACTGCTTCCTGCACCACACAACTCCCTCTTACCCATCACGCCCCACTCTACAAACCCAGTTCCGTCTTTGGTAACATCCTTAAACTCTACTCGGGCCTTGACAAAATGCAAGGCTCTGGGAGGGCTGGATCTCCTCTCCCGAGGGGACTGTCTGGGTCTAATGGTCGGCTCGGTCCTAGTTGCCTCCAGTCCCCGGCAGACCCACTGCACTACCCTACCTCGCCCCGGTCACCCACAAAGGGGCCGAGCGCGGCCGCGCCCAGCACTCCACAGCAGTTGGGCTGGCTGAGCGCCGTCCAGGAGCACACAGAAGGAACCCAATGAATGAACCAGAGACGTCCCGGGACGCGGCCGCGCTCGGGTTCCGCGGGGCCAGAGGTTGCTTCCCTCGCCAGGGGCTCGCGGATCTCGCTACGGCGATGCTGCTGGCGCCTGGCTCCGAGGTCCCCGCCCAGAAACCCGAGCGCCACCGCCGGGGAACAAAAGGTGGCCGGTCTGACCGCCTGCAAGGTCAGCGCGCCGCCCGCCGGGCCTGGCCGGGCCGGCGCGGCTCACCTGCGGCCAACGCGCTCCGCGGGCGCTGACCCACTTTCCGTTCCGGCCGCGACGCAAACAATCCCCGCCCCCGCACTGCATTGGCCCGGCCGCCGAAGGCGGGCTCTCCCGCGGCTTCGCGCGGGGGCGGGTCTCGCGAGACAGGACTGCTGTCGAGAGGCTTGTACGACCTGTCAATCCTGAACCGAAGTTCCTACTGGTCCTCGCTAGAGCGGTCAGAAAGCGTCTCGCATCACCATTGGACAAGCATGCGGAAGTAGGTCTGTGTCCGTGGCGTCATCATCAGTTGCCAGGCTCGGGAACGCTTTAGGTGACCTGATTGGCTGAAGAGTGCGTGCCCAGGCCTCTCAAAATGAGTCAGGGGCGGACCCTGGTTGTCATTGGTTCAAAGGCTCGGAGAGTTAGGAGAGGAAGCGGAAGGGAGCCGCGAAGAGCGGCTGGTGGCGGGATGGAGGCGGTAGCTGGTGAGCGTGCGGGTTGGCCGAGCGTGAGGGGTCGGGGAAGTCTGAAGGCGGACCGAATGCAGCGGCCGAAAGCTCGAGACGCCAGTGTGCGCCATGTCCCCTTGTTTACTGAGCCAGCCGGGTGACGCGGATGCACATGTAGGCGGTTATGGCTGCTCTGGGTCCTCAGCTGGAAGCCCTCTGCAGATTCTAATGTGGAATCTATGCGTTCGTGCCCAGGTGCCGCCTAGCCGTGGTAAACTGTCCTGCTAGTTTCCTCTGTGTCTGTTGAAATTAGCGGGCAGTTTGAGGATTTATCACGTGTGCACATGCCTTCAGTTGCTCCACTTCATACAGAAGTGAGACCGAGACAGGTCTGGGACTTCTAGAAAACCCTACCTAGGTGCCTTTGTCTTTGTCGCTCTCCCGGACACCCCAACTCCTGTTTCTCACCAGAGCCCGGGAACCTGGCTGGCGTGCGAAACATCATCCTTGTCCTCTCTGGAAAGGGGGGCGTTGGGAAAAGTACCATCTCCACGGAGTTGGCCCTGGCGCTACGCCACCAGGGCAAGAAGGTGAGGCCCCAACCAGGGTCGACAGCTGCTGCACTTACTAGTTTGTAGCTCCCAGTAAGCCTGGAAGGCTTCTCCCCACCCCTCAGCATCCGCCTTCTTTCAGGTGGGGATCCTAGATGTAGATCTGTGCGGTCCTAGCATCCCACACATGCTCCGTGCGCAAGGCAAGGCAGTGCACCAGTGTGACAGTGGCTGGGTGCCCGTCTTTGTGGATCAGGAGCAGAGCATCTCCCTCATGTCTGTGGGCTTCCTGCTGGAAAACCCTGATGAGGCCGTGGTGTGGAGGGGTCCCAAGAAACATGGTAAGAACTCGGTGAGGGCAAGTCCCCCAGCCGACTCTTCAGTATGTCTTTATTGCGCCTATTTTTCCTCTTATCATGGCTGCTGCCTTTGGGTAAAGTCAGAATCCAGCCCTGGCCTCTTGGTGGTGGAGATTTTGTCCCATTGGACAATTTTGTCACGCATGCCCACCCAGCAGAATATGCACACGCCTGTGCCCCCGAGAAGCCTCTCACAGCCTCTGGATGGAGGGAGTGCCGTGAGACCAAGGTCAAGGGCGAAGCTGTGCTTGGCTTTGGTTGTGAAACCGTCAGCCACTCTGAGTTCAGTTAGGAAGGGAGGTCTTCGGAGAGCCTCGCCCTCACCCGGCACACACCGGTGTAAGGCCCCACGGTGTGTAGTGGCCCACGAGCCGAGCTTCAAGGAGGGAACGTTAAACCATCCCGGCTGCAGTGAGGGGCCGCCTGGGAGGAAAAGCACTCTTAGGGTGAATGGCTTGTCGCTCCTGGATGTGCCAGCAAGGTGCTTCAGGACGGGCCGTTTCCTCTGGGCCTGAGCGCACAGAGGCCCTTAGGAGACGCAAGGTTCCATCCTCACCTGGGGCCTTCATGGAAGCCGGCTACAGCCCAGAGGGTGGAGTGTGTGGAGACAGTTCAGTGCTAGCAGCTGGCACAGCTGTAGGAAAGGAGTGTGCCTGTGGGGGCCGTGGGGCTCTGCCTCCCCAGTTACCTCGCAGACCAAGGACCCTGGCTGCCCTGTGTGGCAGGTGTTCCCATTGTCCCCTGGGAGCTGCCCAGGAGCAGCTGGTAGATCCTGGAGCTGGAGAAGATGGGCCCCCCCCTGCCTAGCCCTCTCTCAGGTCACCGCTGGTCTCTGGGTCTCCGCAGCACTGATCAAGCAGTTTGTGTCTGACGTGGCCTGGGGGGAGCTGGACTATCTGGTTGTGGACACGCCACCAGGGACTTCTGATGAGCACATGGCCACTGTGGAAGCCCTGCGCCCCTATAGGCCTCTGGGGGCCCTCGTGGTCACCACACCACAGGTACCACTGGCATCTCCTCCAGCCTCACCTGGGGTGTGTGTGTGTGTGTGTGTTTCTGTCTGTCTGTGGCATCCCCTCCAATCTTACCTGGGGTGTGTATGTGTGTCTGTCTGTCTGTGGCATCTCCTCAAATCTCACCTGGGGTGCGTGTGTCTGTCTGTCTGTGTGTCTTTGTTCTGGTTGGGCTGGGCAGTGGTGGGCCGAGTTCCCAGCTGGTTACTTGGTTCTTGGCTGCCTTGTGACTGACTGGCCCTTCACTTTGATCTACAGGCAGTGTCTGTTGGGGATGTGAGGCGGGAGCTGACTTTCTGTAGGAAGACTGGGCTGCAGGTCATAGGGGTCATAGAGAACATGAGTGGCTTCGCCTGCCCACACTGCGCTGTAAGTCTTGGAAAATGAGGCTATTTCAGGGTCTGAGGGGGTACAAAACAGGGCATGCAGTCAGTGACTTAGTAAGTAAGTGGGTCCATCAGTTCATGTAAGTGACTTCCTGGCTAGAGAGGACACTGGTACTACCTGGGTATTCTCCCTGGACCAGCTGGAGGTCTCGCCCTGGCCATGGGTCTGCAAACTGGACCCTCACAGCCCTTGTTTTCTAGGAGTGCACCAATGTCTTCTCCAAGGGCGGTGGGGAGGAGCTGGCCCAGCTGGCCGGAGTCCCCTTTTTAGGTAAGTGTCAAGAGCAAGCCAGCTGGGGCCCCAAATTCCACCTGCCAGGCTTCTGAGTGGGTCTGACTGAAGAGTTGGGCCTCTCTTCAGTATGTGTCCAACTTGAGGCTTATGTGGGCTGCCCACCCCCAGCTGTGTTCTGGGAACGCCTGTGTCAGGATACTAGGCTCCTGCCACTTGCCCCACATTGTCTAAGTGGGAGGTCACGGGGCCGGCAGCTTGAGCTTCTGGTAAGTGAGTGGTAGGTTGGCATTCTCGCCTGCTGCCGTCTTATGTTAGCCCCCTCTTGTTTTTATTTCTTCGTTGGGGAGGGGGTTGTGGGTGTGCATATGCCACAGTGTACATGGGGAGGTCAGAAAACAGTTTGTGGGGGTCACTTATCGCCTTCCACCATGTGGGTCCTGGGGCTTGAACTCAGGTCGTCAGCCTTGGCAGCACACACCTTTACCCACTGAGCCATCTTGTCGCCCTTTCCTGGCTTTTGTTGTTGCAGGCTCTGTTCCCCTCGATCCCCAGCTCACCAGGAGCCTGGAAGAGGGCGGTGACTTCATCCAGGAGTTTCCCAAGAGCCCTGCATACTCTGCGCTCACTTCCATAGCCCAGAAAGTTCTGCACAGGATGCCTGCTCTGCTCTCCTGACAGATAGTCTCATAGCACTCCTGGCACTGTGTGCTCTGTTCACAGACTACGGGAACTCTGGGAGCAGAGGTCCTCAGGACTGTCTTGGGGCCTGCATTTGCTGACCTGAGCAATGGCTGGTCTATGTGATTATCTCCATGCAGTGGAGTGACATTTCCCAGTAGTGTTTGGGTAGAGTTTACTTACCATCAGCAGCTGAGGGCATGGCTTGGGTCCTAGTTTCTTGAGATAGTCACAGCCTTAACCTCCAACCCGTGGGCTTTGTCCAGCCCTAGTCGCTTCTGCCCCAGATCCACAGGCTGCTCAGCCCGTCACACCATACGTGAGCTGGCCGATACTTTCTCATCCTGACTGACCCTGAGTGCCCGCCCACAAGGGCTGTGCTATGGAGCTTTCTGTGATACACTGTGTGGTTTACAGCTACATCTGGTTAACTTACAGGAATCTGCCATTAAACATATCACCCCACCTTGGGAAGAACTTAGCATCCAGACCCTTCTGTCCTCAGTGAGATGGCTTTTGGTACATTCTAAGGCTGGAACAAGCAGTATTAGTAAAGATATAAGGGGCCTGGGGATGTGGTGAGGATGTGTGTCTTGTTTTGGGGGATGGGCGTGGGCATGTTGTGTTTTCAGAAACCTGTGGGGTCTGCCAGGCATGTTACTGAAGGCCTGGGGCAGCTACAGGCCATAGGATGAGCGTTCAAGGGTGAGCTGAGGCCCAGAGGCCCTCTCCTCCTTCTGGAAAGGTCAGAAAGGAAAGCAGATGGTGATCTGTTATCTTCCTAGGGCAAAGCTGAGGTGTCAGGGGAGACTGGGGGTCTGGGGCGCCTTGCAGGGGATGGCTCCTGCAGTCAGATGGGAAGGTGCTGTCCTCAACTCCTGCCGTTACTGCCCAGCGGTGGGCAGTGTGGTGCCTCCACCCCTGTGCTCTGACTGCCTGGGATCTGGACAGCTGTGAGAACCCCACCTGGCTCCAGGGCAGTGCCCTGAGGGAGGGGTGCAGTGCCAGGATGGGGGGGGCGGACTTGAGTGCCTGCAGTTCCCAGGGTTGGAGGACAGGGTCCTAAGAAGCCCTAGGGGACATGGACACAGCAGGATGAAGTGGGACACATGTTCCCAATACCAGCAAGGCCCAGATTGGGCTCGGCAGAGCTAGGACAGGACAGGGGTGGGGACAAAGAGCATGGAGACCACAGACCACCTTTCCCCAAGTTCACACTGAAGGTTGATTTAATTGTTGCCAGCAGGGAGCGCTGCTGAGCACTTCCCTCCTGGTTGGGCCCTCGGGCACCCAGCCTGCGCCCAGCCTTTCTGAATTTAGGCCGCATAGCTGCCAGTACTGCTCTGCTTCCAGGAAGTGAGCAGCCCAGGCCTGGCCCCTAGAGATGGGCAGGTATTTTCCCTCCCCCACTGGCTTGGAGAGCCAGCTTATTCTGGTAACAGTGAGAGACTGTCCTGATCACAAGGCGGCATTAGGCCAACCCAGGCCAGTAGTGGCCAGGGTCAGCAGTGCGCAAAGTGAGTTTCGCCGATGTCTCGTAAGTCGAGGCCTGAGACGTTGGCAGGGCCGGCACAGGTGATGTTGTTGAAGGTATACACCGGCTGGCAGTCATCCCCCTCACAGACAGTCTGAACAAAGCGGGGCACGATGCCGGGGTTCTGCAGGGCAAAGTCACGCAGTGCCTTGAGGGGACAGCTGCAGTCCCAGGGGTTGTCATCCAGCCACAGGCGCTCCAGGCCATGCTGTGGCAAAAAGGTCTGCAAAGAGTTATTCCTGAGGCTGAGGTAGCGCAGCCGCCCCAGTGGTGAGAAAAGGCCTTCAGACAGCGCCTCCAGGCGGTTGTGTGAGACGTCCAGCCAAAAGACCCGCTGCAGGGGTCTCAGGACATCCACAGACAGCATGGGCAGCTGGTTATGTGAGAGGAGCAGGTACTCGAGCTGGCCAAGGCCCTGGAAAAGCTGGCGGGGCAGATGCGTGAGCTGGTTGGCGGTAAGGTCGAGCTCCAGCAGCTCAGAGAGCCCTGCCAGGCTCTGTTCTTCCATGCTGGAGATGCCGTTGCCCCTGAGGAAGAGCCTGCGCAGCCCTGAAAGGCCGGCGAAAGTGTGCAGGCGGATGCGGCCCAGGCAGCTGTGCTCCAGATGCAGGCTGTGCAACTTGCCCAGCCCCTGAAACACCCGCTCCGGGAGGCTCCTGAGACAGTTGCCAGAGAGATTCATAACAGCCATATTGAAGAGGCCAAAGAAGGCACCCACCTTGACCTCGTGGATCTGATTGTCATTGAGGGTCAGCACCTCCAGTTGCCCCAGGCCCTCAAATGTCTTCTCGCCCAGCTGCCGGATGCGATTGTGACCAAGCTGCAGTTCCTCCAGGAAGTGCAGATCTTTGAAAGTCCGCGGCCGCAAGCTAGTGATGGCATTGTGCGCCAAGCGCAGGACATGCAGACCCAGCAGGCCTGGGAAGGTGTCCTCCAGGAGCCCTGCCACGCGGTTATGGGACAGGTCCAGCCAGCGCAGTGCCTTCATGCCCAGGAAGGCACCAGGGGCCACAGCTGTGACCAAGTTGTGGCCCAGGTACAGCTTCTGCAGCCTGGGCAGGTGTATGAAGACGTTGGCCTTGATGCTGCGCAGTGCATTCCTGCTCAGATCCAGCTCGCGCAGCTCACCCAAGCCGCAGAAGAGCGAAGGCTGCAGGTAAGCCAGTTTGTTGCCGGCCAGCACCAGCTCCCGGAGGTTGCCCAGGCCCTGGAACACCGTGTCCGGCAGTACCACTAGGCTATTCCAACCCAGGTTGAGGGCCCAGAGGTGACCGAGGCCCTGGAACAGCCCCTCTTCCAGCCGGCCCAGGAGGTTGTTGGCCAGGCTGAGTGAAGCCAGCCTGGGTGTGTGCGTGAACAAGCCAGCAGGCAGGCCGCGGAGCAGGTTCCGCTCCAGGTGCAAGTGGTAGAGGTTCTGCAGGCCCAGCAGGGCCTGGGGCTCCAGGCTGCTCAGCCAGCTGCCCTGCAGGTTGAGGAAGTCCAGGCTGGACAGATTTTGGAAAGCCGCTGAGGGAATGGAGGAGAAGTTATTGCCGTCCAGCCACAGGACCCTGGTGCCGACTGGGATGCCCTCAGGCAGCTGTGTGAGGTTTCTGGAACTGCAGAAGACGCTGAGCTCATCTGTGTAGTCGTCATAGCTGCAGGTACAGGCGACGGGACACTGGGGGCCCTCGGCATCTGCTGATGCTCCAGGATCTGTCCCCTGCAGGTCACAGGGGCCTAGTGCCACCCAGAAAGCCAGAAGCACCACCAGGGCCGGGCCTCCTGTGGGGAGAAGGGCTTGGCAAGGAGGTGCCCAGAGGACTGTGGCCCAGGATGTGAGCCAAACCCTGGGCTTCCCTAGTCCTCAGCCATTGTAAGAGAAGGATGTTGTTTGTACACTAAGACATCTGGTCAACCCACTTTGATACCAAGCAGACAATGGTAGGGTAGCCAGGTCCTAGGCTTTGAAGCAACTTCACTTTTCCAATCTCACTGCAGGGACACCGAGGACTTGGCTCTTCCATTTTACCCTGGCTTCACTGGGCCCTTGGCCACTAGGCCATGTGGCAGTCTGTATCCTCTGGGGTATACACAACAGTCAGGCTGAAAACCAGAACCGAGCTGCTGGCCTAGACCTGGCTGTTCCAGAATATTCTGGAATAGACCCGGGCAGCATATTCATTTGTGGTCCTCAATGACTGGACAGCAAGCTGGGCACTCCCTGCCTGTTAGGCCCCCAGATGGGGGACGCACATCCTGTTTTGCTCCCCAGTATATGCAGGCTGTATATTCTGTTGGTAGAAGAATGGAGTCTAGAAAACCCTGACCATCTACATCAACCCACACGGACTCGGCCAGCACCTCCATCCTAAATCTACCTCAGGGGTGTGCTGAGAACTCCAGCTTAGGTGAGGCAGGACAGCACGGTTCTGCACCTACACGGCATGCGTCTGGTGTGACTGCATAATGGTGGTTTTGGAGTGAGACTGGCGGGACGGCCCCGGCATCATGGTAGCACGCCAAAGGAGGCAAGCAATAAGACGCCGGCTTCCTACTCACCCAGGGGCAGGTCCCTGAGAGGCTCGGCAGCTAGGAAGACGATCGCAGGCCGTGGCTGGTACACCAACCATCCTGGCACGCTATGAGGTGGGACCGTGAGGAGCGCTGAGCCCCGGTTTCTGCATCTTGTCATTCTCAGGGGTGAGGTGCTTGCTCCTGCCTGCCCTGCCTTCGTCTGGCCCACCATCCCCAGTGCCACCACCCAGGGGAAGCGTGACAGAGACCCTCTGCGGTCAGAGTTAGTAGTATCCGCGACCCAATCCAGAATTCCCACCAGCGGGTTGAGGGCCAGCTACCCTCAGAGCAAATGGCAGGGGAGACGGGTTCCTCACCTGTCCTCGGGGCCATTGTGCCTTGTACAGACCTGGCTGCAGGCAGTGAGCAAGCAAGCGAGGTGTCTAGGTGCAGGCTGCTGCCCTCTGGATTTCCTCACGGCCAGTAGCTGGCAGCCTTAAGCTGGCCCTGCCCCACACCGCTGTCTCCTTTAACCCTCTCGTGCTGGGCACTTAGTCTCCACAGCAAGTCTCCTGGGTGCGGAGATGCCGGGAAGAAAGTCTCCCTCAGGGAAGAGGAGGGGCTCTGAAGGCTGCCCCTGTAGGGTCGGAGGTAGAGGCTTGTTGGAGTGGCCTTACAGGATTGGCTGCTCAAGGTAGAGGGCCCTCTCTCCAAGTAGGTTCAGCCAAGATGAGGGTACACTAGGGGAGCGCGTGGGTCTTGGGGAGTCCCCGACTCACCCCCGTACTGAGCAGATGGCTGTGTCAGGTTAAGCAGCGGATACCTGTTTCTTACAGCCCTGCCCATGTTTCTTTCTTTTTCTTTTCTTTCTTTCTTTTTTTTGTAGAATTTTTGTTTTTATGAGACAGGGTTTCTTTGTGTAGCCTTGGCTGTCCTAGAACTCGCTCTGTAGACCAGGCTGGCCTTGAACTCACAACAGAGATCTACCTGCCTCTGCCTCCTGAGGGCTGGGATTGAAGGTGTTCGCCACCACTGCCTGGCTTGAGCTAGGGTTTCTTAACAGCCTGAGTGGGTTCCGCCATTTGTGCTTCCCAGCCCAGGGGTTTGTCCAGGGCCCAGTCTCAGCCCTCCTGTGACCTCTAGGTCAGCTGGTGTCTGGCCACTGCCCCTCCCCCAGGGCCTCTTCTAGGAACACCTGGCAGGGCCACCAGCTACCTCATATTTGCTTTCCCCAACACAACCCTCCTGGGCAAGGCTGGCAGGCAGGCAGTGGGGCACCCAGGCCTGAAGGGCCAGAGCCAGCCAGCTTCCACAGGTCTCTTGCTGCCTCAGCAGCAAGGAGGGCCTAACTACCCACTACTTCCTCGTGTACAGAGACCCCAGGAAACACGCTGCCCCGGGGGAGGTTTCGGGGACTGCTCGTGGGGCCCTCAACCTGGCCCTGGCTCCACCACTCACCCTGCCGGAGCCACATCTCAGCTTCCTTCTCCAGGGCCTGAGAGCTGTGACCTGGTGGACACGCCGAAGCTCAGCAAAGGCTGCCTTGAGCTCTGTCCCTTTGCCCTGCCTGGGGTGGTGGGAATGCACACGGGAGGGGCCAGGAAAGGCAGTGCTGGGGTTCAGGAGGGGCAGCTTCTCGGGGAGGTTGTGGGCTATCAGGACCTATCTCTAAGCAGACAGAGGAAGTAGACTGGTCTGGGAGGGCCAGGGGGCTGTGGCTTCCACTATGCTGCCCCATCTCTGGGGCATTTTCCAGGTTATTCCTCAGCCCTTTTTTTTTTTTTTTTTTCTGAGAAATTATAGATCGGCAGGGGGGAGGCTCCGCCCAGAGCCACAGAGCAGTTTACACAGTAAAAGTGTGACCTCAGCAGGGCTGCGGGGCCAGTGGCCAGCCTCAGGCTCTGTCGGGAAAAGGAGCCAGGCAGCCGTGGCCAGGAGTCCCTGTGGGTCCCCGCTTTACTCCAGGCCAGGATCTCTTCCTGGCCACTGCAAGCACCGTTTGATGTGGTGTGGCAGCCTTAGCAGGCTTTTGACAGCTCGGTTAGACCCAAGTCAGCCTCCTGCAGCCACACAGCACAGTAACAACACCCGAAGAGTTCCCTGCTCCCCAACAGCCCTGCTCTTCTGTCCAGTTTTCCCTACGGGGGCCGTGCTTGGAGCCCATGGGACCTGGGCCTGTGTCTAGCCCTGAATGTGGCAACAGATGCAGAGCACACTGGGCCTGCTCCTTCAGACGTCATCCAAGTGAGACGCAGCCGCCCTAGCTGGAGCCTCAGCCTCCCTCCAGGACTACTCGCCCTGAGGCCTGAAGGGATGTGGGCGTTTCTGTGGGGGCAGGACTTGAGGGTCCACACGGCAGTGTGTCTTCCCTAGCCTGCCTCTATGTCACCTACTGATGTATGGCTGTGCTGCTGTTCTGTGTTTTCCAGATCTCTGTTTAGGCTGAGCACCCTAAAACTGTCCAAACACGAGACCCAGAGGTTTTGGCACATCTGTGTTTTAGCCTCTTGCCGGTTTCTGTCAGATCACCTGTCAATCTGAGATTTCTGAATTCCAGATACAAGTCTGGTCCGTAGCTTTAGGCTTTTCATTCCTGTGGTCCCACTAAGTTCTGTGTGTTCACGCACATAGTGCCAGGATAGGAGCCAGGACCCGTGTGTGCAAAGCTCTGGCACACCTTACTCCCCCAGCCAGAGTCAGTAATTTCATGGTTTAATTTTTTTTTTTTTTTCTGAGACAAGGTCTCAGGTAGCCCAAGCTGGCCTTGAGTTGATATGTAGCAGATGTGGCTTTAGACTCCTGGGTCTCCTGCTTCCACCTCCCAAGAGTGGGGATTACAGCTGGGATTAAGCCACCTTGCCAAGGCTTATTTTATATTTCTGCAACAAGACCTTACTATGTAGTCCAGACTGGTGCTCAAATTCACAATGACCCTCTTGCCTCAGCCTCCAGAGTGCCAGGCTTATAGAAACCAAGCCCAGCTAATCCTTCATAATGTTTTATGAAGTTTGATTTATCAAAGACTAGAATTTTGAGTCCTGTTTGCATTTGTACCCAAACATGTTCCCTCTAGGCCCCCAGAGTCACCTTTATAATCTGTTATCTCGTTATTGACAGCTCACCTGTGTCTTTGTCTTGCTGTCTGGAAAATGACTGCTTCACCCTCAGAATTAGACACCCATCACTGCTCCTCCTGAGTCTTCGGAGCCAGGACCTCCACGGTCTCCTGGGCAGCTGCCATTTCAACAGGCTTTGCCATACATTCTGACATCCGGGTGGCAGGGTGAAGATTCCAAGTGAGTAAACAGCTTGGTTTCTCCATGTTCTGAGTCCAGCATATGGTATCTTCAGCAACAGGGTCTTAGTCAGTCCTGGAGGGTAGCCAAGAGTATTGGCAATGGCCTGTAATGGCCTGGAGGGGAGGTCTGTGGGGGGTTTTGGTTTGGTTTTTGATACAAGGTCTCTCTATGTAGCTCTGGCTGTCCTAAATCTACCTGCCTCTGCCTCCCAACTGCTGTCTTTGGGATCTTATTGATCAATAACCTACAAAGAGGGAACCGTCCCTGGGACGAGGTTATATTTGCTAGCCAGGGGTGTCTAGTTGGGATATTGTGCCCGTGTTATAAGGCAGCTCCATTAAAGCTAATTTGTAAAGTTTATGTGTGTGGGTTTTGCCTGCATGTATGTCTGTGCACCAGTGCACATGCCTGGTGCCTTTGTAGGCCAGAAAATGGCATCTCATCCCCTAGAACTGAAGTTAAGAGATGGTTTTGGAGTGCCATGTGGATGCTGGGACTCAAACTCCAGGGAAGCCAGTGCTCCAATGGCTGAACCATCTCTCTGTCACTCTTTATGTATGTGTATGTTCTCGGGGCTCTCTATGTGGCCTTTTCTTTTTTCTTTCTTTTTTTTTTTTTTTTAAGGTTTATTTATTTATTATGTATACAGTATTCTGCCCACATATATGCCTGCAGGCCAGAAGAGGGCGCCAGATCTCATTACAGATGGTCATGAGTCACCATATGGTTGCTGGGAATTGAACTCAGGACCCCTGGAAGAGCAGCCAGTGCTCTTAACCTCTGAGCCATCTCTCCATTCCCCCCGCCTCATATGGCTTTTTTAAGAGGCCTTTAGTATTAGTTATCCCCCCCTATAATATCTTCTCTACCTGCTCCCCACCCCCACCCCAATTTATCTCTTCCTGTTCCATTATTTTCCCTGAGCCTTGTGTACCCTTTGTCTCCTCCAAAACTTGAAATCCCCTCCAAGGCCCTTTAGTAACTTCCTGACCTCTGTGGCTATTTCCAGGTGCAACACACATCTGAAATTCAAAGCTAACATCCATAAATGAAGAAAACATGTGACATGTGTCTTTCTGAATTTGGGTTTCCCCATTCAGAATGATTTCTGTTTGTTTTTAGTTGTGGCCCATAGCTAACAGTAAAAGGTCAGAATGTATCTAATTCCATCCATTTGCCTGTGAATTTCCTGATTTAGTTTTTTGTTTTGTTTTGTTTTGTTTTTACTATCTCAGTTATATGTATTTCATATTTTGAGAACTGTTTGGTTCTATGCCCCATTTTAAATAGGGTTCCTTGTTTTCTTGATGTTCAGAGTTTTGTTTTGTGTTGTGTTTAGTTCTTTGTATATTATATTCTAGATACTAACCCTCTGTCAGATGTACAGCTGGTAAAGATCTTTTTCTATTCTGTAGTGTGTCAGTCTCTCTACACAAATGATGGTGTCTTTTTTTTTTTTCAAGACAGGGTTTCTTTGTGTAGCCCTGGCTGTCCTGGAACTTGCTCTGCAGACCAGGCTGGACTTGAACTCACAAAGATCTGCCTGCCTCTGCCTCCTGAGTGCCTGGATTAAAGATGTGGGCCACCACTGCCCAGCATGACAGTGTCTTTTTCTGTACAGAAGCTTTTTAGTTTCATGTGTTCCTATTTGTCTGTTGTTGCTCTTAATGCCTGTGCCCCCGGGGTCCTGTTCTAAAGACCTTTGCTGTGCCTGCACGTTGAGGTGGATTCCCTGATTTGGGGAATTGCTCTTACGTTGAGTTCCTTGGTCCATTTAGAGTTGAGTTTTGTACAGGATAAAAGGTAAGAGTCAAGTTTCATGTAACTATCCAGTTCAACCATCACTGTTTATTGATGATGCCGTCTTTTTTCAAGTGTGTATTTTTAGCCTCTGTTAAAAAAAAAAAAAATCAGGTCTAGGCACCAATCTGTGTGTATAACAGAATATCCTTAGGCATCATTACATGACATTTTTCCCCCCTCCAGTCATGTTTGGTTCTATCCTAGGTCCCTGGGTCATCCAGCCTGTGGATC